CTCTCTCTCTCTCTCTCTGTGTGTGTGGCGCGCACGCGCCGGTCGAAAAACGAAATGCAGCGTTACGTCCATTGGGTAAAAAAGAAGACGAAATGCACCCGCTAGGTTGGGCGCCAAGAAGGGAAAAGGAAGGGAGGGAAGGAGGAGCACTAAGGAAGGAAAGAGGGAGGGAGGACCGAGCAAGGAGGAAGGGAAGGAGGGAGGGAGGGAGGGTCGAGGGGGAAGGCCAAGGGAGGGAGGACGGATGGGGATGTGAGGACCGAGGGGAGGGAGAATGGAGAGAGAAGGGCTGAGGAAGGAGTGGCCGAGGAAGGACCGAGAGAGGACGGAGGGCCGAGGTAGGAAGCAGGGAGGAGGTCGAAAGCAGAAAGGAAGTAGAGGGAGGAGGCAGGGAGGAGGGAGGGCGGAGAGGAGGAGAAGAGCCGGCGAAGATCAGGCAGAGATCCGACGGACGGAAGAAGGAGAGAGGTCTCATGGAGGAAGGTAAGAGAAATGGAGACTCACTTGAATCAGCCATGCCAACGAAGCCTCCAGTCGACAACAATCAACCAACAATGCGCAAGCCTTCGACCATGATTTACCCCAGCCCTCCACGTTGCACAAAAGTAGACAATGCCTCAAGCACACGTTGCACTAAGCCACGAGTAGCACGCAGGTCAATTCATGTATCACCAACCTCAGGGAGCACGTAGCACCAACCTGACGAATCAGGTAGGCACCAACCTCAGTAATCAAGTGGCACCAAGCTCAGATTTACGCTGCCAGCAACGATGCACGTAGGACGTAGCACTTCGACGTGCAATGTGGCACGTAGGTCAGAGCACGAAGCACGTAGCAGCGAAGCACGAAGTTCACGTAGCACGCAGGAGGATTCACGTTGCACCAAGCTCACAAAGCACGTAGCACACAGCTCATGAATCACGTAGCACCGGTAGCACAGAGAGAGAGACATGGAGAAGAACGAACCGCGTAGCACGCATGAAGCACGTAGCACCAAAGAATGATCCACGTAGCACGAAGCACGTAGCACCAAAGAACGAACCACCGAGCAAGCACTGGCTAGCACGGCACGTATCACCAAAGAACGAACCACGCAGCACCGGTAGCACAGAGAGAGAGAGAGAGAGAGGGAGAGATGGAGAAGAACGAACCAGGTAGCAAGCACGAAGCACGTAGCACCCGTAGCACACCAGCTCACGTAGCACGTAGGTCAGATCACGAAGCATGTAGCACCAACACACGAAAGACGAAGCACATAGCACCAAAGCTCGAAGCCCAGCTCGTCGCGTTTTGAGACCAACTCCCGTTGCACGTAGGTCAATTCACGTCGCAGAGTAGCACCGAAGCACGGAACACGAAGCACATACCACCAAAGCACGAAGCTCTTAGCACCGGTTCACGTAGCACGGGGGCACACAGAGACACAGAGACACAGAGAGAGAGAGAGACAGAGAGAGAGAGAGAGAGAGAGAGAGAGAGAGAGAGAGAGAGAGAGAGAGAGAGAGAGAGCTGGGTGGCGCTACGGTAGCTACCGCCTTCTCCCGAACATAACACAAATTCCCGGTCAGGTACAGCCAAATCAGGGTGCGTTCCTGGGGAAGAGCAGGCAGGGCTCACCACATGCACAAAAGACAGTATGGCGGTGATTTTCTTTTTTTTCCTTACAAAACTTTGCAGATTTATGACGGTGTAAATTTCAATGTTTCTTTTTTTTCCTGGGGAAAAGCCGGTAGGGCTCATCAGAGATACTTTTCGCCGTCTCGAAACGCCAGTGAGGAAGATCAGGAGCGACGAGGCCGCGGTTTTTCGCGGAGTTTCCTGACCGGGATCCGCATTCCTGGTTTGTCTTTCCCCCCCTCTTTTTGCCACCTGCCCCGAGTCGCTTGAGTGAACGTTTGCGGAACAGTGGGGTGACGTGTCCGGTCGAGGAGAAGGGTTAGTCTTAGTCTCACTCAACCTCTGGCAGTTCACAGGGCAAGCGACACAGGGGTATTTCGAACGGGAGAGGTAGACAGCTTTTGGCTTCTCCGGGACGGGGTAGAGATTTCCGGGGTAGACCTTCCGGGCTCGTTCCCGACGTTACTTCGTGGGTTGGCGCATAGAGCGGTAGGAGTGTATCGCTGATGATTGGCAAAGACAATACGAGGATCAGAAGTTACGGTGTATTCTCCGATCTAAGCAAAGTCCTATCTTATACGAGGAGGCCAACGTTGCTGCCCGAAAGCGAAGGTGATGGCGAATCAAGTCCCTGAGGGGAGGCATATCCCCCCAATTCCATCGGTGGCAGCTAGGGCTAATGAGAGACTGTGGGAGTCGGTAGGTAGGTGCTATGCTCAAGGGATTTGTCCGGACGATGCCTCGTTGGGGGAAGTTGTGGAGGACTCAGATGGCAAGCGCTTCGTCGTAAATAGGCAAGTCAACGCGGTGAAGGACGAATGGTTGAAAGACCATACGGTGGTAGTCACGTTTCAGGGGGAGGCGAGAAATTTGTCGAGACAAGTAAAGGAAGATTTAATTAGAGCTTAAGAGGATGGATGGTTCGCGAGGAAAATTTTCGGACCAGACGCAGACCGGGGAAGAATCAAGTTTGAAGGTGCGAACGTGGTTTCTTACATTGCGAAGTCCGAACAAATCGCAACTTGGCTCCTTCAACAGAAAGAAATGAGAATTAAGCTTCAGGAGGCTGAAGAGTATGTGGTGTCCTTCAAACCATGGCTCCCACTCCAAGAGCTCAGAGAGGTAAGACTTCAGGAGGCAGAAGTCAAGTTTTGGATCATGGCACTTCGAGTCCCCATTGATGCTTACTACTATCTAAGAAGCGCGGTACAAGGTATCTTCGGCGAGGTGGTGCAGATGTATCCACCGGAATATGACAGATCAAGGCCAAAACTGATGAACGTGAAGTTAGAGTTATCTCCCGATGCACGCCATAATGTTGAAGATGTGCTAACTATTGAAGGCCCGACTGGCGAGAAGTGGAGGGTGGAGATTGCTACTCCGTATACGGATTGGTGCAGGCGCTGTAAGTGGTATTTTCACACAGACAGCAACTGCCCTCGGACCAGACAGGGGGATGAGAGAGGGAATAAGTCAGCGGTCAGACCAGGAGGGCACAAGGTCAGATTCTCCGAGCATCTGCAAAAACAGGAAGATCAAGCGAGGAACTCCCGAGCGGCAAGGCGGGAAGCGAATTCACACCCGCAAGCTGGGATCCCAACGACCTCTCACATCAGTGCCCAGGCCCAAGGGCTCAGAAGGAATAACCAGGAGACAGCAAGTGGGAGACCTCGGTGGGATTCCCAAGAGTTCAGAAGCACCGAAGTGCAGGAGCAGGGGGGGCAGGTCAGTGGAGCAGGGAGGTGGCAGGGTCAATTCGATCAGCGCTACAAATCCGCGAACATAGTAGCGGGGCTAGGAGACCCGCAGGGGGTTTGGGGACAGTACAATCAAAGTGACCTGAGAGGTGCATTCGCTACGGAGGAGCAACACTTGCACGATAGATTCGGTCACAAAGCAACATTCGGATACGGCGGCGCTGCTCCGATGACGACCCCCGGGTCGGATAGGGTGGAGTGGCAGGCAGGAAACCACTACAGGGAAAGGGACTTTCCCCAGGCTGCTCATCAACAGGAACAGGACCCGCTGTGGGGAGCGGGCCCGCAGGAAGTTCAAGCTCAGTACCCGGGACAAGCGTTTCAAGATACAGGAGCCCCGCATATGCTAGCGTGCCCGTACCCAAGGTACCCACCGAACTCGTACAATTGGAGAGATCTAATTCCACACAGCCGAGAGGAATATCTCGAACGGCCCGGGCCCTCATGGAGAGCGCCAAGACCAGGTCTCTCGAGACTCGGCAAGAGTACGTCCAGAAGCGAGTCCAGGGGCCGTTGGAGAAGCCAGGGGAGAGCAGATGGAGGTAGCTGGAGGGACCAAGGAGAGCGAGGAGAAGTTGGAGATTGGAGAGAACACGGCCAAAGGAGAAGAGAAGAGTTACAAACGGGACCAGGAGATTTGCAGCAGGCAGCCCCCCGGGCGGCGTCAGGTGACCAAAGAGTGACTCAAGAGGGGCGGCACAGATTAGCGGACCAAGCAGTTGGGAGAGGGGACATTCAAGGGGAGTTGTCGAGGACATCGGCATCGTCTCAGTCAAGGGTGCGATGGGGTAGTGAGTGGTATGTTGGGGAAAAGGCGTCGGAAGAGTCAGAGGGAGAAAGATCTTCGATGCTCAGTTCTGCAACATCGAAATCTCCAAGAAACGAAGAAAGAATGTGTGAGGAACACCCTCGCCGGGATCTGGATCGAAGAGCGGACACAGCCAGAAAAAGCCAAGCGGAAAAGGTTCAAAGAAGGATTGTACCCCTACTCTGCACGATGGCCAAAGACGGAGTTTACTTCCTCGCCTTAGCCCAAGCGGACGGCGTTCCTGTGCTCCCATCATTCGATGTAGAACACTCTCCTACCCCTTCGGAGATCGTCGACTTCACAAGATCACTATACGGACAGCATGTCTCGATCAGACTCATCCCACGCTCCATCATGGTGAGTCTGACCATGGAGTCCAGGGAGCAGTTTTACAAGCTGTATTTTCCGCTGCTCGACGCGCGCATACCATCGGAACTGGCAAGCTCGCTAACACAAGCGGGAGTAAGGTGGGTTCACATGTCCAAATTGAAGGACCAGTATTTTGCTCGACGCGCGCATACCATCGGAACTGGCAAGCTCGCTAACACAAGCGGGAGTAAGGTGGGTTCACATGTCCAAATTGAAGGACCAGTATTCTAAGGAACTAGAATTAATAAAAGTAATTCCAGATATCTCAGCGCTAGTATTGAAGAACGTCAATGAGAAACTTCAGGCGGAGGAGGGTCTGCTCTCACCCTTCCTTGCGAAGGCATTGACGGCGGATTGTCGGAGTCCAACTCCTCGAGAAGCAGTACCAGGGACATGCCGGGAGGGTTACAAAGGTCGAGAGGCAGCAAAGCATCAGAGGTGGAAAGGAGCTCCCAACAGCATTCGGACCATGCACAGTCCTTGACCCACATCCAAGCACAGGCGGGAGGAGCAACTGTTGATGGACAAACTTAAACTGGCTTCATGGAATATTAGAGGGTTGGGAGACACAAACGGGAGAGGTAAGAAGAGAAGCCTTAAGTCTTGGATTCACGAATGGAACCGGAACTGTATTATGCTTCAGGAAACGAAGCTTGACAAAGACAAGATCAGAGAGTTGGGACCCTGGTGGGACGGTCCTCAAATCTGATCCCCCGCGCAGGGCACCAGAGGGGGGGGTTGCATCCTACTGCACAGGGACCTTCAGGCTCGGGTGATTGACAAGGAGGCGGACATCTGGGGGCGCTGGGCGTGGATGAGGGTGGAGGTGGGATCAGACGAATGACTACTCATGACAGTGTATGCTCCAACGAAGACAAGGGAAAAAGAAGCCTTTTTCAAAAGTCTGATTTCAAACATACCCAGAGTGGAGAAAATCATCCTAGCGGGGGGCTGGAATAGATCGTTGGACGATGCCCTCCGCCCAGACTCAGGGTGTGCAGGACAGGGGGATGTTCAGGCGCCCCCTCACCTAATGGAGACGCTATTCCTGACGCACCCATTCCGGTTGCTCAACCCGGATAATCCAGGCTTCACATGGTTCTCACATCTCCACCACAACAGGCAGTGTATGACCAGGCGCCGTCTGGACTATGTGCTGGTGACAGACAGCTTAATGCCAAGAGTGTTAACAGTTAAGCATACCTGCAACCCTCTTTCGGACCATAAGCCGGTCACGGCAAAGGTCAGGTTGCAGGAAGGTTGCGAAAGGGGTAAAGGTTTCTTCAGGTTGAACAAACAAGTGCTGGAGAATCCGGGGGTCCGGGACTGGGTGGAGGATCACTTGGTGAGGTGGGAAGTTGCAAGACCTTTCTTTGAGGAGACGGCGGAATGGTTAGATGCTGGGCTGGCCATCCTCTCCGGAGTGTTGGATGTTTGGTCGAGAGTCCTTGCGAAGGGCAGAAACATAAAAGAGGCAGAATGCAGGAAACGGGTAGAGGAAGCGGAGGACATAATGGAGGGGCACCCCATATCGGCGATGATATGGGCTGCAGAGAGAGTGAAGAGGATGGAGGAATGAGACTCCCTGCAACAGGATAAGCAAAGAAGGTGGGCCGAGTTGCTAAGAGAAAAAAGGATTGAAACACATGATCTGATGACGAAAGAAACCTTTCAGAAACTGCAACCAAGGAGAGCCCCGCAGCAGACGGTAGAACTGCGCCAACCGTTCGACAACAACGCTCCAAATGCTGAGACAGCCTCAGGGATGCTCCACTATGCCAAGCTCTACTATGAGGACATTCTCACCTCAAGACGCCCGCAAGAAGACCCGTCAACGGACCTCTCAGTGGAGTCGGATATGTGGGAAGACACAAAAGTCAAACTCCTGGCCACGGCTAGGATTGACTTGGACAGACCGGTTACTTTGGAAGAGTTGTCCCAGACCGTGAAATCCATGGCTAAGGGTAAATCTCCAGGTATAGACGGACTGACGGTAAAATTTTACAGCACGTTTTGAAACTATATGGGGCCGAAGCTGGTGGTCTTGTACAATCAGATTCTGGTAGACGGGCGTTTGGGGAAGGGGATGACTCATGGGGTAATCAGCATGCTCTTCAAGAAAGGGGACAAGTCAGAGGTTAGGAACTGGCGTCCAATCTCACTTCTAAATGTGTCCTATAAGATTCTAGCAAAAACGTTGGCGCGGAGGCTGGGACATCATCTACCCGGGTTAGTGGAGGGTGACAAAGGCGCATTTGTGCAAGGGAGATCGATTTTCAATAACATAGTTACAACCTTGGAAGTTCTAGAGGTAGTGTAGGCGGATGGCTTGAACACGACAGTCCTCCTCCTAGACCTGGAGAAGGCATACGATAAGGTGGGTTGGCCCTTTGTGTTTACGACGCTGAGGAAAATGGGGTTTGGCTCCCCCTTTTGTAAGTGGCTGGTCGCCATGTACACCCTCTCGACCTCGGTGATGATCAATGGTCACTTGTCACAGTCCTTCAAGCTGTCAAGGTCGCTGAGGCAAGGATGCCCCCTAGCCCCACTGCTTTTTATGCTACAGATGGAGGTCCTTCTGAACAGAATTCGCAAAAATCCAATCATCAGAGGCTTAAGTCTGCATAGCGAGTCAGAATGCAAGGTGAAGGCCCTCGCAGATGACTTGTTCGTCATCAGCGAGAACTCGTGCACCTCATTAGTTGCACTGAAAGACGTACTGACGGAGTACTCCTCGCTCTCGGAGGCCTCCGTAAATTGGAACAAATCAGTGTTTTTGTTACCGAAGGGTTTTGCCCTCTCCGTTCAATGGGGTATGAAGAGGGTCGCAGAAGGGGAGGAAGAAAGATTTTTGGGGGTGCTAGTCAGTCTGCAAACTGGTTCATCCACACAAGGGCTGGTACTACAACAAAGAGTTGCAGCAAGACTGCGGATCAAGGGGCTGGTTTGGCACCTGTCCATTATAGGGAGAACGCTAGTGGCAAACGCCGCCCTGTTCTCAATCATGTGGTATGTATGCACTGTGAGGGAGTTGTCGGAAAGTGTGTGGAAAGCGGTGAAAAGATTGGTCGCACGCTTCATCTGGAAACCGAAGACTAAGGAAGGGGAAGGCGTTATTGTTAAAGTGGCCTGGGAACTTCTCACTTTTCCACGCAGCGAGGGGGGGCTTAATCTGGTGGACCCAGTTTTGAAGAACCAAGCGCAACTCAGCACTTGGTTGAGCAAAGTGGCAAATGCCCCAGTGAAGGAGCACTGGATGGAGCTGGCGGAACAGATCTTAATGGATGAATGGGGCTTATGCCGTCCTCAGGACGTCTGGCGGTGTATGTTTATCCCCTCCTTCCGAAGGAAGAGGATAAAGTCACGTTTTTAGAAAGAGGTGTTGAAGGTTTGGAACAACCTGCCGTCGGACGTGTCTGTGCAACCGAAAACCAAGGAGGAAGTGCAATCTCAGCTCCTGTTCGAAAATCATGAGATTGTAGGCAAGGAGGGGATGCAACTTCTAGCGGATGGTTGGCTCATTTGGTTTAGCCTGGGTCCGCAAAGGTATTGTCACGATTGGTGACTTGTGGGACCCTCTGGTCGGGGCATGGAGACAGGTTACGACCCACTGGGCAGGGAAATTCTGAGTCCGCTGAGAAATATTGAATTACATTTGATGCAGATCTTGGAAGCTATCCCGAAGGATTGGAGAGAGCTGCTTGGGCCGGAGGGCATCGACCCAGCTGGTACTTGGTACTGTGCAGAGGGGGAGGATTCAGAAGGTAAAGAAGAAGTGTGGAAATTGCTAGAAATCCTCCCCAGCGGTTTCAGGAGGGTTCAGAGATGGCGCTATGAGCACTACTCAAATGAACTGAGCTTTATCAACGAGGGGGTTATCAGCACGTGGAGAAACCCGCCGCAAGCCAGAGTGGTGGGAAAAGGGGGCACCTCGAAGAGCAGAAGAAAGTGGTTTTGGATCGGTCGCACTCCGCTAAGGAAACTCTGCATTGACCCCTCAGCCTGGAGCTGGACAACGGATGCAGCGAGCCAGCCTCAACTCCCACTATCTGAGTACTTGGTGGCAAAAGGGTATGACTTGAGGAGGAAAGCTGGTCTAAAGAGAACTCCTTCGCAGGTGGCAATCAGCAGGTGGCAGACTGTGACTTCAGAAGACCTGACAGGAGCTGATACCCAGTTGTTGGCCCTATGGGACTCTTTGACATATTTGCCAAATGGCAAACAGGTGGCAATCTTGTGGCAAATTTCCCTGATGGTAACCCCCTCTGCAGTCTGGCTGGTTAGTAGAGGTATGGAGGTAGATCTCAGATGTCCTCGCTGTAACTGGCCGTTTGAGTCAACTCGACACCTGTGGTGGGAATGTCTCGCGTCCCGTAGGATATGGAAGTGGTGGAAATACCACTGGCAGCGATTCGGGGATCCAGTTGTAGACTGGGAGGAGAAGTGGGTGTTGTTGGGATTCCTACCGGAAGGAACTCCCAGGAATCAAGGTTGGCCATACATTGCTCAGGTAACCAGGGGTCTTCTGTGCGAAATCATCTGGAGAGACAGGAATAGAGCCAGGATCGAAAGAAGGCCTTTCTCAGATCTGGAAATCAAGAAGGCAGTGAGGCAGGGTCTGCGGGAGGCGATCAGAGTAGATTGGAAGAAAAGAGTTAAGGCAGGGAAGGGGAACAGGAGACAACTGCGTTGGTTTTTAAACACCTGGGCGCATCGTCACCAATTGGTAGGTGTGCACAGAACCAAGGGCCTTGTCCTCTCCTCGTGGGTGAGGGAACCGGTGTAGGGGAGACAAGGGGAGCAAGGTAGGTTAATACGGTATCTCAGTGGGCTGACAACTGGTTACTTCGAGAACCAGGGCCCTCGGTTCTCTCTTTAGGCGTTTGCCGCAGGAGGCAAATGGGGGGAACCAGGGCCCTCGGTTCCAGTCGACGGCTGCAGTAGGCTGTAATGGGTGGGAGAGCAGGGAGAGTGTCCAGGGAGTAGGAGGGAGCCAGGTTCCCCTCAGTTGAAGTTGGGCCGAGTTCAGACCGTTGTAGGTCTGTGAATAGATTAGGCCATTAGCAGTAGCGGCTAGGCTAAGTAGACTCTTTGAGGTTGGAAAGTTAAACTCATTTGTAACGTTCTGCTCGCTTTTTTAGTGTAGAAGCAAGAGTGTTGTTGATAAGAGATAATAGTGGGAAGAACAGGGAGCGTTTTTCAGTCTCAGACTGTAAGCTAAACCGGCTGATGCTGCCGGGATTACTCCGGGTTGATTTGTGAG